GTGTGTGTGTGTGTGTGTGTGTGTGTGTGTGTGTGTGTGTGTGTGTGGGGCCAGAACTGAGTCATCACGTCTTTGTCTATGTAACTGCTGGATGGAAAACACAGTCATTGAACACGATCACCTGACAGCTGTGGAACAAGCTTGTGCTGTGTGACAGGGTTGCTTGGTTGGCATTTTGAGAAATTGGCAACCGATTCTGTGCCTTTGGTTGCCAACAGAGTCCGTGTTATAAACCTTTTATGTCACACTTTCATTATGTTCTTTAACCAGTCTCCACATGATTTGCTTGACAGCTTTGCCTATATCTTACAATCGTTAACATATAGCCAAATCTGAATTTTACTTGCACATTCTTAACACCGCCCCCGTTTTTGCATCACATAATCCAATTCAGCACCACTGTTAAAGGCCCAGGTCAGATAAAATCAAACCTCAGCCTCATGCAGGACGTATTATATGGGTGTTGAACCCAAACTCGATGGGAATCCTCTCGAAGGATTCATCCAAAGAAAGGTGCTGAGTGGTCGGGATATCTTGATAAAACTCTTTTAAAAGAATATTTAGAAATGATTGTAAAAAAGAAATTGATCATAGTTTCTCAATGCCCAATGTGAGGTAATTAAATTACCAGTTTTATCCCAGTAACCAAAAGATAGTTGTTGTTTTTTATGAACAAAGAAAATCATCAAGTCTTCATGACACAGTGACACTCGTGGATATTACGCGGTTTTGATTGAAAAATGACTCAAATGATTAGCAATAAGTTTTCTGCTGGTCAACTAGGTAATAATTTTAATAATCCATGAAGCTCCCCAAAATGTTACATTAATGGTTCAAATTAGGATGCCTTATTTATAACTTTAACATTCCAGTTTAGTTTTTCCCCCAAATATCCAGTATCTTGCAGGGCGTTTTGTTGTTTGATTAGAGATGAACCCATGGATGTATAACGAGTGCTGGATACAGCGTTGGAGGCGGGGCCCCATTCATTCCTATCAATGTTGGTCAGTGGAGCGTGAAGCAAAAGAAGTTTGACTTCCTTGTATAACATGAAGCAGATCTTCTGACGATCTTCCGCATCCATGGGCCCATAGAACATGTGTACTAGCGTTTCCTTTGACCCCGCCTCCCAGCACTCGGGATCGTTCACATGAATATAGGATGGAAAATAACTCTGGGTTTGGCTATAGAGACAGAGCCTGGCACTCAGTAGGCGGCAAGTATTTTGTTTTTTTGTTATTTCTGTAAGTTACGCTAAAGCATTTTGACAGTATGCATCTTGTGTTATAGCGGAATGTGGATACATCAGAAATATATGCAGTATTATGTTTTGGTTTTCAGAGTACAACGCTCTGTCTCCATTTGTGCATTGAGGACCTAATGATTTAAATAAGGGCCAATGAAGTTTTCACTCTGGGAAGTAGATTTAGCTATAAAAGAAAGAAGAAGAAAAATCAGCTGATGTACAGACGTCTCTTTCCCAAATGTGAGTCTTTGGGAAAATTTATATTTTTGGGCCCAATGGCATCATGTGATGGACCTGGAAGTTGTAATTCCACCTTTTGGCCACAGTGTAAAACTTGCCTCAAAGCCTGGTGCTGTACCTGCGGGCTTTGATCAAACTGTGAGGGAAAGATAAGCCACACCTTTTTTTTGCCTCAAGGAAGAACAAACTTTCACCTCAGCTCCCAGTCCTACAGGCAACAGCCTCTCAGAGGCTGTTTTATGTAGTTTGTTTTTGTCCCGTGGGAGCATGCTACGCTGTTCACTGAGCGAATGGGATTCAGCTCAGTGAAGCTCACAGCTCTCCGAGCGCTTCTGAGGTATACGTGAAGGTGTTCCATGTTGTTCAGATGATGCTGCTGCTCACACTTCCCTCGCTGTCCACAGATGCTGAGGAGCTCTACATCCAGCAAGCTGTTGTACTGATCGAGGACGCCATACAGGTAAGTGCAATGACTTATTTCTCTTTTGGTAAAAGATAAGAAGAGGTAAATACTACCATATTGTGTGTCGGCTCAGGCCACTTTCTTGTGTCCTTCATGCTCATCCTCCTTCATGAATTCACGTTATCGTCGGGTGTCTCGGATAAGAATGTCCGTCATAGATTATAGCATGTGGAAATAAAACTTATAAGGTCGTTGGACTTTTAATTTATGCTTCGGTCGTTTTTTCCAAATAAGGAACACTGTCAGCCCCCTTCCCTCAGCCTAAAGATTACCAAAAAGTCTTTCAGTGTTTTCACCACTTCACGTGTTGACTACTGTCTTCTTCCCTTTGTGTGCTCGCTTGTAGTACCGCTCCATCAACCACCGGGTGGATGCCCGCTCACTCTGCCTGTATCGATGGTACTACTCCAGGATATGCCAGTGGTGAGTTCACACCTTTTCAAACACCTGCTCAGGCCTGTGGATGGAACTAGACCTGAGTTGATGTTTGCAATATGTTAACGTTTTAGGGCCACACGTCTGCAGGGACTGAAACTGGACAGTCACTTATTTTTGCTTTTTTGACGGACGATTTGAAATCCGTTTCGCTGCTTCAGGATGGAACAGAGGCCTCGTTAATGTTATTGGTACTGGGTTAGAGTTAACCACTGGCTTTCTACTGGCTAAAACATTCCCAGCGACTCAAATTCAGGAATAGAACATAGGACATTTTTATCAATTTTCCTAAATAATTGAGATCACTGCTGATATTTATATCTCCGGAGGTGTCCACCACGAGATGGTGTTGAGGCAGAGACATTCAGTGGGAGGCGAGATAATAACCGATGACCGTAAGATTACTAATAGATAGATGTTTTGTTCTGACCTCTCGCCACATAAACGGACGTCCTCAAATCTACATTTATATCTACATCTACAAATCCTTTATTTATTGAGTCACATCCAAAGCAGCATTATAAGAATCAAGCTGTCAATTAATTTTAATCATTGTGATAAAAAATTGAATATTAAAATCATGTGGATAATACACATGTGATAATATCGTGTAAATATATGTCCCCTGCTCCCAACAAGTGATTTTGTTTGAGTTGACCACGACATTGTATTGATGGCAGATGTTAGGCTTTGTGATTTCTTTCCTTTCATCAGTTCATCTGATTGCCTTGTCACTGTCCAAGCCTTCTTTTTCTACAGTAATGGTTACAGACTCTCTCTCCAACTACCTACAATCATATTTTGAGTGTAATTAATTTGACAAAAAAGAGACAAAACGCACAATAAACAAAGTTAAAGATGACTGTTGGTATTATTATTGATTTTTTTAATATTGCGATAATGTTGCTATCATGAATTTTTTTGGGCCAGGATAATCATATAGTGAAAATCCGATATTGTGACAGCCCATATATATATATATATATATATATATTCACGTGACAACACTGCAGGTTTGTTTACCCCCGTCTCTGCTCCAGAGACAACGGTGAAGCAAACGACGTTGTTTGTATACAAGTCACACTAATAGTCACATTAAGAACTCAAAATATAAGGTGATGAAAAATGGCGTGCCTGCAACCAAAAAGCCGATGCCTTTTGCCAGCCTGCCAACCACTTTTAAAAGTTAGTGATGGGCCTCGTTCTAAGCCGTTTTTCTCTGATATCCCTACACCCATTTGTCCGTCTACTCACCCGTCTTTCCCGGCACCAGGGGCTTGGGCCTAGCCATCGGCGTGGTGTTGCTGCTGGCGTTCGTCGAACGCCCGTCCTCCCTGTCCATCTCCTCGGACCCCCGATATCGCCTTCCGCCTTGGGAGCCTCCCTGTGGCTTCACCGAAAGCATCGAGATGTTCTGCCTCGTCATCTTCTCTCTTGATCTTGCCGTTAAGGTAAGCACAGCCAAGGTGGAGGACATTTGCTCCCAGGCACTGGCAGCTGTTTGGTTAAACAAGGGTTATGATGTTTTAAATAATTTTGCTGCACTCCTTATGTTTTGTCCTCAGGGCTACTTGATTGGCTGGGAGGAATTCAGAAAAAGCAAATGGCTGATCGGCTACACATTTGTCATTTCATTCTCCGTCATTGACTGGGTGTTGTCTGTCAGCATGGCGTGTGATGAGGTGAGACCGTCCTCCTCTGTAATGCTTCTTTTAGCATGGTGTGCTTAGAGAAGGCAACAACCTCTGGTTCTGAAATGTGAAGCCGATGCAGAAGTGCCTTAAACCTGTAGTCTTTCTTATGGCCATCAGGGGGCGACTCCTCCGGTTTGCAAAAAGAAGTCGGATTGTATAGAAGTCTATGAGAAAAAGACTCTACTTCTCAGTTGATTTATTACCTCAGTAAACATTGTAAACATGAGTTTATGGTCTCAATCTCTAGTTTCAAGTCTTCTTCAATACAACATGATGTTCATTTAGTAAATTATGATCCATTTTGAGTCAAATAGACGGTGAAGCAGAGTAATCTTTAGGGTGTGGCTACCTCGTGATTGAGCAGACAAATCAGACTGTAGGACACTCATTTTCAGTCATTGCCTGATTCAAAGTTTACCAAGTACAGTCCAAATGACAGAAAGTGGTCTTGCTTCGTCCATTTTAGCGAGGATACTTAGGGAGCCGGGCTCATAACTCCTATAACTTTCGGCCTACAACTGTTAAACTGTGTCACACAGGGGTGTCGTACAAAATTGTGAGCCCACAATAACCATAGGTTTGATTTTAATTCAATTCATTTGGGACCTCATTTGGGACTTCCAGTGTTTATATTTGTTGATACAGAGTTTATTCTATCACAGCAACCCCTTTGGTACATTACTTCTGTGGTGGCCCACTGGTATTTTAAGTATAAGATATAGTTATGTAAGATAAACATAGGTCTCACAGTCAAAACCTAAAATTTGTAAATGCCAAATTAGTTTGCCTGAAGGTACAATTATGGTTCAGTTGACGTACAATTGCACTGCCTCTGTGTATTTGATAAATGTGAATGTAAAAAGGAACAGTGGCAGTGTGTTATATGATATGAGCTTTTATATCGTAGTATAAGGATAAAAGATGTATCTGTTGACCGCATTTCACAGTCAACTAAATATTATAAAGGGTGACTTTGTCTTTGAAATAATTTACATTTCATTTTGGTGTGCATGTACCCGTTGTTGTAAGATTCAAACTCCCAAGGACATTGAACATGGCATATTCTCTGCGTCAACTGAGTTGAATCGTGATCACCCTGCATTCAAAAAAGTGACGCTGTCTTTTCTCTGCTAATCAGAAATTTCGAGTACGGCGACTCCTCCGGCCATTCTTCCTCCTGCAGAACTCCTCCATGATGAAAAAGACACTGAAGTGCATCAAGAGGACTCTGCCAGAGATTGCCAGGTATCTGACGTCTTTACTGAAGCATATCAAACAACTATTGGATTAATACTACTGTATTACAATAGATGGAGGTCAGCACCCCACCAGTTTGTAGAAAGAGACAGGAGTACCAGCACGGGAGCAAAGAGATGTACTGCTGCGGACGGGAGAAAAGTGCTCCTTTGTAATATGCAGACATTTGGTGCAAAAATGCCAAAATTTTACTTAAATTAAATTCCTTGCCTGAAGTTCTGAAGAATTCCGTTGCACCTCGTGGGCTAGGACTTGTACCTCGCAAGCTTTTTCTCTCCTCCATTGTTCTGCCTACTGGGTTGTTGACTCAAAGGCAACATTAATACTTTGCCACATGGATCATTTCAATCAGTATCGTAAAAAACGGGCAAAGTTTCATTAGCGCAATAGTGATGGAGAGTTCATGGTGCTTTCAGCCGCCGCAGTCCAGTCTTTGTGAATGTGTTTGTTTGTGTAACGGTAGTTCAGGTGGAAATGAGTCAGCAAACTGGATCAGTAACAGCGTTGGGCACGTTATTTCAGTTATACTTATTGTAAAAGTAATTCCATTCCATAACTAATTACTCAACAGCAAAAGTAAATGCCATCATTGGCACAGGAAGGGGGAGCTGAGGGGCTAGCTCAACACTCTAAACAAAATGAAGCTACAGTGCAGTTGGCTCACTTATATTCTAGCCAGAGCACTCTCGCTTCTGTCAGTGGGTCTCTGCTTCCCTTTAATGTGGCCACAGACTGATGACGATATACTCTGATTACACCACCTCTACTCTATTATATAGTAGCGCTTCCAAGTTCCAATGCATTGAATTTCAAATCATGAACAGTGAAGAGGATTGTTTGGAGGTTGTGTTTGGTGTTATAAATTTGTTGTAGGTATTTCAGGCACCAGCAACAGTTGGAAGCTGTGATCCAAATATTTCCGATAACTCCAGAGCGTTGTAAAGGACAAAAGTCAGAATGTTTTGAAAAAAAGATAGACGTAATCATTTCCAAAATTCACTACGTAGTTTTATCTAAAAAAATATTTTCTTTCAATCCAGATTTGTTGGCGTTAAGCATTCAAAAACTCTTTGCTCTCCCGCTTCCTGCACACAAAGGGAGGAACGCACTGACGAGCTGTATTCATTAAAGAAAGTAGATTTAATCAAAAAGGACTAACTTAATCCGATGAATCACAAGTATTTTATTTATTTTTTTAGGTCAATGACGTCATAAAATGTGATGACAGACATTCAAAGCTTCATTTCGAAAACCGTAATAGAAAATTCACATAAAATTTTGACAGTTGGAGCACTTCCAAGACTCCAATTTACAAACAATTTAAAGGGAGAAGTAAACTGCGACTCCCAAGGAGCATTTCTGTAAGAAATCATCCAATCACAGAGCTTTAAAATCTGTAGTTTGTACCTAATAGCTCACAGATGACACTTTGTAGAAACCTCATGAAACTGTCTCCCGTTTGGATCAGTTCACTTTCGGATTCTGGGTCAGTTTTGGATCATCAGTGTTTTGTTACCAACTGCAGCAACAGACACCCGGAAATTGATGCAGCGCTGACTGGATTCTTTTCTACGGCAACAGTTGCTGGGGCTTGTGGGTATTGTAGTATTTAGAGCCCTCCGCCATGAAAAACTAAAGAAATATGAATTTTCAGTTTTAAAGTTGAAATGATTAAAACTGATGGCCACTGCATAAACCTGTAATATACCAAAGACTTTTTAAAGATTTAGATTCTTCACCCTTACCTTGTGTGTGTGTGTGTGTGTGTGCGTGTGTGTGTGTGTGTGTGTGTGTGTGTGTGCGCGCGCGTGTGTGCGTGTGTGTGCAGTGTCATCCTGCTGCTGGCGCTCCACCTGTGTCTCT